CCTTATCCACTAACCTCTTATTAACTAACTACCTTATCCACTATCAACCAATAGAATGGTTTAAGCAAAATACTTAAACCTATAGGCTTAATCACCGGATCCTACCTGGAGGGGTTGGAAAAATGACATCCTATTAATTATAGATTTCTAAGATAATTAATTTGAGTTACATTTAATAATCTGTCTAAATTAAAAACTCATATTAATTACTTTCAAAAAAAGGAATGTAATTAATATACATTCACTATGCAGGTGCAATGATAGTTGTATCAGTGCAATGGTAGTTTAAGCAAATAGAGGTTATTAGGCAATGCCTAGAACAGTTCTGTGCGAGTTCAGGACAAAAGGTTAATCTTAACAAGTCTGTTATTTTTGTTTCGCCTAATGTTTCTCGTGACAGGGCACAGAGGTTGAGCAACAAAGCCAATATTACGCTGACGTCAGACCTCGGGAGATACTTGGGGCTTAATGCCATTCATGGAAGAGTCACTAAAGCCAGATATAAGGAGCTTGTCCTGCGTATTTGATACGTGTTGAAATCGTATGAGTGAATGAATCCCTTTTCTTGGCGGGATTGAGCCAGTTCTCTCTTTTCTTGGCGAGAAATTACCAGAGGTTTTACTTACTAAAATTCTGCTCCCTTGTTATTTCTTTGCTTCTAGTTTAAATACATCATCGTCGAAACTAAAAATCCTAACAAGGTGTGAGCTATGCTTCCACGACTACCTACTGCCTACTCTTTCTCCACTTAAGGTGGAGAGACTTTATTCCAACCAAAACAACCAGCAACTACTACTCCTAATCAGTAGGGAATACCCTTTCAACCTAAAACAAAACCCAAAGACTACTCCTGTCCTGGCAACGGTAAGCTTGGACAATGGTTGGGCTACACGAAATCCCGTTAGCGCGAATTGGACTGGGGCTCACAAGCTGAACGTCGGTTAGGCTGAGTTCATTGATTCGTGGGCTTATCATTACCACCCCCTGAAAAACGGCCTTGTCCTCAAGGCCGAATTGAATGAAGCGATCATCGAAAATGGAAGACAACTTACAGGTAGCATCATCCACGCGAAGCGAACTCCCTTGACATGTTTCCATCGGCGATCCGTACCAGTCAGTTGGTTTGATCCATAAGTCAACCCAGATAGCTGAATCGGTCCGCTCATCACCCACTTCAGCTTGTTCACTCCGTTTCACCTCGTTCATCGGCTCCTCACACGACGCCGCTTGCCTACTCTCAACCTTTGCCCACAATCTGTGCTTCCTGAAACGTTTCCAGCTCCTTCCTGAGACCCACCTCGGGATCACCCCGCCGTAGATTGTGATTATGAAGGTCGGTGTGTTGAGATTGATGATAGAGGGAAGTTTTGACTACTTTGCCGGTGGGGGCAAGGAAGATTCGATCACCATCGATTCGTTGTCGTCATTGTTGGCGGTGACGATAACTTCGGCATCGCGCTTGCGCTTACAAGTCTTGTCCCCAAAGTCTTTGTCAAGGTAGCAACAATCAAGAGCGCAAGCCATTGCTTCTTTCTTCCCCTGGGGCTGTAGCTTTCCTTTTTAAATTGGATTCTTGTCCAGCTTCTTCCTTCTCTTCCACCAGTAGAGAAATTTAGCATCAACACCATAAAATCCTACTCATGCTTCATAGTTTATATGCTTTTTATGCGCAAGCCTTACAAATAAGCCTATCTTGCATATAACTCTTTCCCCACATTTTCCATCCCCATCATCGCACATCAACAATTGACGAACATCCCTAACAAAGAGACTTTCATAAAGAGTTGTGGACTTAAATCCCCTTCCATCGGGATCTGTACAGACTAATTTGGTTGGATGAACCTTGGCAATTAAATCAACCTCTCCATGAGGTGTCCCACCTTGATCTTCAGCGATCAATAAATCACGGAAGTTACCTCCCTGGTCCGGCGTTGATGTAGTGGATGTGGCGGAGGTCAGGCTCCTTCCAGGTGAAGGCGTTGCGGCCTGGGCCACGAAAGACTTTGTTTCTCGCGGATCGACGGCAGCGATGGTAGTGATTGCAATGGCCTTTAAATTGTCCTTGTTTGCAGAAGTTGGTGCAAGAATCGCAAACTTACCCATATAAACGGCGGCAACAGGATCACCCATGTGAGCGGTCGGGTTCGTCGTCGATGGGAAGCGTGGCTTGGACTCGATTTTTGGCGGCGTATAATGCTTGACAGCATTGACAAGAGGCTGTTGTGGATTTGCTGACAAGGTCGGCAAGGCAGCCGATGGAGGCGCCATGATCGTCGATAACGTGCTATTAGCTGCAGCAGGTACCTGTAGCGTTGCTACGGGTAGGACGGAGATCTCCGCCTCTTCCATAGCGGCTAGGGTCTCGATTTCCGATTGCGATGGTAGTGTTCCTGACATGCGTTTGTCATACGACGCAATCATCGTGCGGCAGGTAGCCATTACACGCTCTATTTGCCTGAGTGCCTGATTGATGAGTTCCTCCTCCCTTGAGGGTCTCTTTGAGCTCATCGTGATCGGAATCCGGATCAACGGCTCTGGTACCAAATGATACATGTTGAAATCGTATGAGTGAATGAATCCCTTTTCTTGGTGGGATTGAGCCAGTTCTCTTTTTTCTTGGAGAGAAATTACCAGAGGTTTTACTTACTAAAATTCTGCTCCCTTGTTATTTCTTTGCTTCTAGTTTAAATACATCATCGTTGAAACTAAAAATCCTAACAAGGTGGGAGCTATGCTTCCACGACTACCTACTGCCTACTCTTTCTCCACTTAAGGTGGAGGGACTTTATTCCAACCAAAACAACCAGCAACTACTACTCCTAATCAGTAGGGAATACCCTTTCAACCTAAAACAAAACCCAAAGACTACTCCTGTCCTGGCAATGGTAAGCTTGGACAATGGTTGGGCTACACGAAATCCCGTTAGCGCGAATTGGACTGGGGGCTCACAAGCTGAACGTCGGTTGGACTGAGTTCATTGATTCGTGGGCTTATCAGTATTCAAAAGAAACTCTCATCATGGAAAACAATATATCTTTCACTGGCTGCCAGGATGACCATGGTGAGATCTATCTCTACATCCATGGCTGTGTATCCGATATTTTCAGAGTTACTTCCAGCTTCTGTCTGCAGTTCATTAGACAAGGTCAATAAACAATTCATATGGGGAGAAGAGGAGGGGAAAACCAGCTTCCATCCCATTGCTTGGGAGCAAATGACTCTACCAAAAAGCCAAGGAGGGGCCGGTATCCGACCAACCAAGCTAGCAAACCAGGCTATGTTGGCTAAAGGAGGCTAGAAGCTAGTTACTAAAGAGGATTCGCTTTGGACAAGGCTGCTGTTGGAAAAGTATGGATGCAACAGAGAAGGGCTAGAGGTGCTAAAGAAGATTAAGGGAAGTTCTCTCGCTTGGAGAAGCTTTACCTCGATTGCCAAGGTGCTTAAGAAAGGTTATGCCATTAATGTTAAGAATGGTAAACACACTCATTTTTGGTCTGATCCATGGATTATGCAGGTACCTTTGATTGACATGGCTTCAGAAGAAATTCCAGAGGAGAAGAAGGAACAGCTACTGGCCGACTTGTGGGAACCTGATAGTGGATGGCGACTGGATGAATTTCAAAGTCTGCTACATCAACACGTGGTTGATCAGATACGAGCAGCTATCGTTGACCCCTTGGCAGCAGAAGAGGATCGACCTTTCTGGAGCCTAACAGCCAACGGGAGTTTTTCAGCTAGTTCGACTTTCAAAGCCCTCCAACATCAGAATCCTGAAGTGAACCAACACTACTGGAAACGTATTTGGAAGCTTCAGGTGTCAGAGAGGGTGAGAGTATTTATCTGGATGGCTGTGCAAGGGAAACTGACGACGAACAGCATCAGAAAACACAGACACCTTACTCAAGATGACTCGTGTATTGAATGCAGGGGAATTCCTGAGACAAATGTGCACTGCTTAAGAGACTGCAGGAAAGCAAAAACAGTATGGACTAAGATTGTGGATGGCCAGGGGGAGTTTGCCTTTTTCAACTCCAATTATGATGATTGGCTCAAGGCTAATCTGATGGACGATTCACATGGAACTTGGCCAGGGCAATGGGCGGACTTCTTTAGTCTGATCCTGTGGTATGTCTGAAAATGCAGAAATGATGAGGTCTTCAAAGGAATCAAGCTTGCTAATTCCACCCGGCAGCACTACATAACAGCAAAAGCTATAGAGTGGGTGAAGATTTGGGACTCAGCCAAGCTTTCCCCTGTTATTGGCGAGAAGCGAGAGAGGGTGGAAGCCATGATTGGATGGACATCTCCACCAACAGGATGGTACAAACTGAATACAGATGGTGCAGCACAGAGTAACCCAGGAATAATCACTGCAGGAGGAGTCTTGCGAAATCACAATGGGGACTGAGTTGGGGGCTTCTGCAGTAAGATAGGGACTGGTACTGCCTTGTTGGCAGAACTATGGGGAATACTGCAGGGTCTGGATTTGGCTTGGAGGAAAGGAATTCAATTCCTCATCTTGGAATCGGATTCTCAACTGGCGTTACAGATTATTGAAAATAGAAGAGACAGTGTCCATCCTCATGCTACCATTCTAGGAGCAATTCGACGGTTGTTGGCGAAAGAATGGGTAGTTCGACTGGTTCACACGTACCGCGAAGGGAATAGAGTCGCGGACTGGCTCTCGAAGCACAGTCTCGTCTATCCCTTTGGTACGTAAGAACTTGAGAACCCCCATTGGAACTGGACAGGATTTGCACAGAAGACATTGTAGGGGTTAGCTTCCCGAGACAAGTTCATCAGAATTAGAGCAATGGCTTTTTGCTGAGGGGAATGATGTGATTAGATAGAGTTTTGAAGCTGTTGCTTCCTTGGTTCGTCTTCTGGTATGGTCTGTTGTTTCCTTTGTGTGGACAGGAGCTTTATAAGTGACCTGATCTTTTTGCTCTTGTAATCTTTGGCCTTGTGCCTCCCTTTTATATATAAAAAAAACAGTGCAATGGTAGTTAAAAACATGTAATTAATATGAATTTTTAATTCACAAAATTATTAAGTGCAACACGAATTTAATACAAAAAATAACTATAATTAATATGATATCATTTTTCCAACTCCTTAGAGGGGTTAGCAAGCTAATCGACCCCTTCCATCCGGTCAAAACAGCAAAACCAAGGCATCTCAGTAGGAACACCTGCCTTTGCCATCTCTGTGCACAAATATTAATATCCTTCTACACACTCCAGCTAATGGTCCGTAAGTAGAACGTATTTATAGTACAACTGAAAACAGAAACAAAAATTTGTATAAAAATGACTCTTTTAAGCATTGAAAAGCTTTCTGAAAGGTCCGTCTTTTCGGTCTTTTGCAGCTTCAGTTAGAGCCAGAAACCTCTTGAAACCTGTTGTGGCAGCACCCCGGCCAAGGGCGGCTGCCCTGGCAAGCACGTCTTCCCTGGAAGAAGCAGTGAGGCCAAGTGACGGATGAGAAACCAGAGAAGTTGCCGCAGCCATAGCAGCAGCAGTGGCGCTGGTGGGAGCAGGAGTCGTAACAGCTGATGCTGCTGATGGCAGAGCTGAAGGTTGAGAAAGTGGTGGACTTTGCTTGTTGAAGTCGTCCAATATAGTTTGCTGATCCGCCTTTTTAAGACCCTGTAACAATTTCCCCAGATGCAAATGCAAGGTAAGAGACATCATTAAAACGTTTGTCAGTGTATAAAGAATCAAAATCAGAAACACAACTCTGCGGCTTAGCAGAAGATTGATAAGAGATCGATGTTTGTATGGCTTAGGTCAAATCAGATGAATTCGACCAGAAAGTGTGTATAGGAGCATTTGTATCAAGAAAAGTGGTTTAGGGCTGTCATTTTTAGCAGGGCAAGATGTTCAAAGAGGCCAAGTCATTAACCATTCAAAAGCAATGTGTAAAAATTTGATTTGGCAAAAGCAATAAGGATATAGGAAATTGCCTTGAGCTCCAAAATCCGCTGGAACTCCATTGGTGTTCCATCTGGTAATAATGCTCGATACGTATCAGCCACAGAATCCACTGGCGATAGTATAACCTGTAATTCATTCTTGATTAGGAAAGCATGCAGTGAGGCAAGAAACAGAAATCAAGCATTTACTCCTTTATCATATACCTTCAAAAGTGCTTCAGCTTTACTCATTTCCCGGCTCACAAACTTTGAATAGCTAGCAGCACTAGACATCTGTGCCAAATCAAATTAAAACTGTTATTCAACTCTCACTTGTTTAGGAAGAGATACTATCCATTCAATAAAAGTAGAATAATGAAAACAAAGCCTATAATATAAACTGGTAACGAATTAAACGCCCTGCTCCAATGTGCAATCAAATCATTCAGTATTTTTTATGGTTCTTCTCTGTTTGCTTCAAAGCTTCAATCACATAGTAAATTGAGGTGGAATTAAATTCGTGCTGATTAGTTACTTTACTAGATAAATTTTACTACAATCAAGCATCCTTGGATGAATTTCTTACTATCAGTTGGTAATTGAATTTTTTAAAAGGGAGCTCAAATGAGATCAACTTGTTCTGATCAAAAGCACTGTCCTTAGACTTAAATCTATGGTGCATAAGTAAATAATTTGATTGGACAATACTGATTCACCTGTTGACCAAGCATTGGAATCTCCAGAAGAATTGTCTTCACGGCTTGAGTATCTAAAAGCATCTGCAAGTAACATCACAGAGTTTTTTTAGCTGAAACAATCATCTTAGATGGTTTCACAAAATAAAAGGTCTAGTTTATAGGTGCTGTGTCTCCCGTGTCTCCCCAACCATATGCGGAGGTCAAGTTTCATCAATGGATGGAATTACAAGTTTCTGACTCCGGACAATAAGAACCCAAAAAAAAAAAAAAATCATTCCTTGTCATGGAATGCAGCAATTAGTTCTTCTGCCCTCTGGCTTTAGCATGCTTTATTCTATGCAGTTCCGTTAATAAAAGAAAGTGTGTCTTTGCATTAATCCTGTTTTAAGGAACAGAATCACAGCAGGAAATAGCAAAGATATGTTATTAAGAGAATTCATTCCTCCTACCAAAAAAAATAAAATAAAAAAGAATTCATTCCAACTAGTTCCTTCCTTAAAGGGACTTCAGTAAATCCATTCCTTGCCAAAAATGGAGAGGCAAAGAAAATCTTCCTAAGAAAACACATAGTAAGTGCCTTTAAATTCATTTCAATGTTAGACAATCAATTGGGAAACAAGAAAATGAAGAACTGTTCATACCTGTTGTGCTCCAGTTTCAGATATTTGTTTGCATTTGAAAATGTTGGTGTAGAAGCGGGGACCAAGAGAGGATGCAAGCTGCAGAGAAATAGTTAAGTCAAGGACTGTTGAATTTGTACTGATTTTAAATCAACAAGTTTGTGAGAAAAATTAACATTTTCCCTTCACAATGTTATTGTTATTGAAGTCTAAGTACACCGAAGGTGACAAATAGTATGTCACATTTGCCAACAGAGAACTTTTTACGTTTGGCAGGGACTTGAATGCCTTTCATTTGAATGAGAAGAGGAGGATAGTGCACAGAAAGCTACAAAGCCTATGGATTAACTGCTTAACTAGCAAGCTTCCTCTGCCTATGACAATGCACATCAAATGGCGCCTAGACACTCATCTAACTACTTGTAACATATCTACCATCTCAATTTAACTTTCTTCTCCTTTTGTCTCACTCCATTCCATTCTCTTATTTTCTATTTCTTTCAATAATTTTGTTATACTTTCTATGAGATGGGGGTACGGGAAAGAACATATTTGGTAGCAACTAAGTTTTGTACCCACCTTGTCCAAGAAGTACTGGAAGTGAACTGGTGCTAGGAGGCTCCCCAGTACAGGAGTGCTGCTGGTAAGGATCATATTTATACCATTGACATACCTGCGATGACAAATCACTAATTTTATGTGGATCCTGTGATATACACAAGTGCTGGCAATTGAAAATTTCTTATGATGCTTCTTACGCAGATTGATCGCCAACACTTTCAAGTGTAGCCCAGGGAACACGTGTCATGGCTGCCATTTCAATATCAAACTTGGTTTCTAGGCCATGCACCAAGGTCATCAATGCCTCTGTTATAAGCCCAGAAAACTCTTCTTCTGCTGACGACATATCTGCTCCAGCTGCAAGTTGAGGATCGATTATTCGCGACACGCTTTCAGCCAGTTCACCTGACTGTTCCAAAGAGTTAGACCAGGTACCAACACTTCATTCTCGGTTTCATTTCCTAAATCAACAAACAGCTAGCAAGAAAATTATGAGCCACCTTTACTCAATCATTGGTGATAAGTAAGCCATGATGATGGGAACCCGCTTCAAGAAAAAGTTTTCAGGAAAGCTGCAATTTGGAAATAGGATCCAGCGGAGATTTTATGAATTATAGAACATGTCCCAGGAAGGGTATATCCTAAGTTCCACTTTGAACTCTCTAACCCCACTTATGTAACAGAAAACCACATAGGTTGCTTCTGAACCTAAAGCCAAAGCACCAGTTCATTGTTTCAACCCGAAAACCCTTAGGTCACTTTCATAATCGTGCAAACAAGGAAAGGTTATACTGAACGCCTCAGCCTATGCAATATCTATTAATGGATAGATACAGTTGGTTCGGTTATAAAGCTAAATTTCCGGTTCTTGAAAATTTTCTGAATGGCGGGGGTGCTGGGCAAAAAGATGGGATACTCCACAGGAAACTGTTGGCTTGCGCAAATGGAAAGACCATTTTTTTTTAATCATCTTATAGAGAACATTCATTTCCACCCATTTTAGAGATACTTTCTACTGGCTAGGTGAAAGAAACAAGAAACATTGAACAAATAAATATAAACAAAAAGATGAACTCACAGTTTTTCTGCAGTATTCGGCTGAATTGACGATATAGCAAATCACCCGCTCATCTCTATCGGACGTCTGCTCAAAATTCAATGGCATTAGAGAATCCACGTAACAGATTACTGACGACCCTTATTCAATGAGGCCATGAAACCATTAGTAATACCTTTATTTGTCCATCCATACCAGTAGCTGCTGCAACAATTCCCACACCACCCTTGGGCAATCTTGCCTTGAGCTTTGAAGCATAAGCTTTTAGAATTTTTTCAAATACCTGTAAGTGGAGCAAAATTAAAGGTTCACAAATTGTTATCTCACCCGCACAAGTGCACAAGCTTATCTGCCTCAGGGTCCCATAAGATATCTTTTGATTTCCAAATATAATTCAATTAGAATCACCTCTTTCCTATAATGGTTCAATTAGCTCATCAAGGAGCATCCTAACAACAGTATGGAATTACCAGCTTTTCTGCTCAGTCTTCGCGATAGGTGAATGTTGGTCCCGGGAGGAGTTTTGTTCAGTTTATAGGAGGAATGACCAGATGGGGAAAAAGAACTACTTTCAGTTCTATCTTTTCACTTCCTATGTGGCATGAGCCAAAGGGAGATCCAAAACTGTATTCGAACTATAAAGATGGACATCAACAAATTTGTTACTGATGAGATCAGTAATTAATGTGCAAACCTCACATTTTAAGAGAAGCATTTTACCTTTGCTAAAAGAAAACTAAGCTTATGCAGGAAATAGTCGGCCAAATCCAATAAATGGAAACTATTCTCCGATAACTTATTGGTTCATTTGATAATATCTTGAATGGACGCCTTATGTATCTAATGCAGATCAGCATTAATTGTTACAATTTAATTTTAGATTATTGATCTGCAGTGACTTAAAATAAATGCACAGTAGATGATGAACTCAAGAAATACCCTGAATAGATTGAGTAATGTCTGGCTCTTTGTTAGAGCACTGCAACGTTTTAAGCTCCTCTTGATGATGAGAAACAACTGAAAAACAAACAGCATTTTATCATTCTCATGAAATAGCATCTCAATGCACTGCTGTGATGCAAAATTGTATGATCCACAAAACAAATAGCTTCTCTTCGCCCCAACTTCATGACCAAATAAAAGCAAAAACACAAAACAAAAACCTATTTTGGCGGGAACATCAATACATATTCTTGAGGGAAATGGGAATATCAAATGCAAGGAGAAAGCACAGGTATGTCAACTAAGAATAATATTGGAATATTGCCTACAACTGTCGTAAACATTTACAAGAAGAATACTTCAAACTCCTGTTTCATTTCAATATAGTTCCCTAAGCCCTAAATTCTTGGAGATATTATACCAGAAAAATATGTTAAGATCTTAATCATTTGAATTTAAGTGCCTCGATTCAAGTAAATACAATTTATATCAGGCATAGTCAACATCCTCAAATATACTTGATGCCTGATGGAGACTAGACAGGAAAAACATGTACATACTTGCATGCAATAACTTCGCTTCAGTGATAATTCACATCAGAAGTTTCCATGAAATCCAATTAGCAATTAGAATGATTAGACAGCTGCTTTTATTTTTCTTCCGAGCCTTTCAATTTCAATGGACAAGAGCCCAAGTTTATTTTCAAAAGTACGCTCTTTTAGTATGATACATATGAGAATAGTTGTTTGTCCACAATAGGAACATGGTCTTACAATGTATGAGATTGAGATACATTCAGAACTCAAAATGATCATGCAAAAGAAACGAGCATCAATTTCTTACCTGCATGCTACTAGATAAAACATTATTCTGACTGCCCTCTTCAATATCCCACTTTTCTTCCTGTAAAGGAGACAATAAAGTTTGAAGAAAGTATGCATAATGGTCACAGGAAAATGGAGGTGTTACAACCTGTATTCTCACACTACCTGAACAAGTTTTTCTAGATTCTCCATCAGTGTCTTCTGCTCTAGCTCCACATAGCTAGTTAGATGGGGTTCAAAGCAAGATGAGATGATTCCACGGAAATTAAACTGCAAAATGAAAAAGTTCAAATTATTCCAATTACTTAGCAATCTCAAAACTGAAAGCCTGAAGAATTCATATCACGGAGATGAAAGTTTAAGTTGATGCTGACCATTTTAAATGCTAGTTAAAATGAGTACTCTTTCTTCATATCAATCAGCTAAGTCTATAACATTCGCATGTGCACGAATTCTAATTTCAAATTTCCTATTTAACCACAATGCATTCAACTTTGTCAAAATTATGTGAATGCCCAGTGGCATACTCAAGAAAACAAGGAAACAAACAGAATAAACTCAGATGCAAAGGCAACTACGTACCCCGGCACCGGGTGCTGACAAATCTTTATTTCCATCTTTTTCCTGACAACGCATTATTATGGTCAGAAAGCAGTTCACTTGATACAGATACAATTTAAGAGAGAATATCATTCACAAAATGAATAATACATACTTGGCCTTCATCTTCCTGATGTACAGCCAGCTTTCTTTCATACTTTTTCCGAATATCTGAAACACTTTGATTGTGATTTTCTCTACCTATCTCTTCTATCTCATTTCCAAACTCCTTTTGAGAACCACCTCCGAATTTCTCAGCCAATTCATCCTCAAATTCTAAAGTTCGTTGCAGAGCCTATCAAATTCAAACAAGAGCACATTTAGTGAACACAGTACTGAAATCAAACAATTTAACCATGATAATGAGACGAAACTTATCTTAATCCTTTTGTCTTAATGACATTCATATCATGGTATCTCAAAAAAAGAAGATATTTTTATCGCGGGAATGTCTATAAAAAAATACCAGTAGGAGAGCTCCAACATCCGGCTTATCCTTGAGATTTTCAAGTATTCCCTCTAGTTGTTTCCTGAAATCAGAAAACATGAAATGAATCTCATAATTAACACAATCACTTCAACATCTTTTACTTTGTTTAGATATTTGAAGCAACACAAATGCCAAATAGTTTTCTTTACAGGCATGATAAAGGCCTTCTAATCATCTCCTTCTCCTGAGTATTCCATATAAAATTATCGCACGATGGTGGAAAATTTGCTATATCAAGTCTCCTTCCCTCACCTAGACAATCCGTTTCCCATGCTCTACATAGAAGCATGGTCCCAGACTTCTAAGGTAATTGTACACGGAAATAGAAGATGGAAACCTAAATTAACTTGCATGATGCAACATCTGCTATTTAAAAGCAAGAGTCAAGAGTTGTATATTTAAAAGAAGTAACATTGCACTTGTAATTCTGCACATAAGGATGCCATATCCAAATCAATACTGGACTTCCGTTATGTTTTTCCAACAACATGCCCATACAAACTAGTAGCTTGATTACAAAGACTAGAGATACCTAGCGCCTACCAAACACAATGCAGTCATAATCAAATGAAGGTAGCTTAACTCAAATAATAACTCAAATCAACCATATTGATGACGTTCTTTTGTACTTGTATTATAATCAGATAAAAACTCATAATCAAATAAGTAGCCCCTTTCCATTGATAACTATGGAACTTCTGTTTTTTCACCAAATTACATACCTTGTCTTCTTACAGAACTGGATACACAGACGATAGGGAACATGCCATGAAAGAGGGAAAATCTTCCATATCTCCTCATTTGTTCTTATCCGGCGCTTAATCCATGCATACCGCCGTTCAGTTTTATCCAGCTTAGCCAATTCTGGTCATAAAGAAAAAAAAAACTTCAAAAAAAGAAATAAACTGAAGTCTGATAAATACCTATACACATAAGGTATAAATCACATAAGCTAGATCAAAGATAGTACGAACCAGCTCCTTCAAAGATCTGCTCATATGAAGTAAGCTCCCTGCTACAGAAATTATTAACCAACTCTTCTCTCACAGATGGCTCCAAAGCATCAACCACCAAGCATGCTTCAGATAACTGCTGCAGCAAATTTGTTTCTTCCGTCTCTTTCCCGGTGCCCAGGCTGTGAATAAAAATAATGGAAAAGAATTTCAATTGAATAAATCTAAAAAGCATAGAGAAGAATCTCTGTTATAAATTCTAATTCATACAGATTTCATACATTATTGGAAAAGTTAATGAGTACAGCAGTTTCACATTCAAGCTATTAAATGTGGAATAGTACACTTGTCTAATTCCTTCAATGAATCCTCATACAAATGTAAGAGTAAAGTGGCGTCTCAACCTGACAGATTATGGAACTCTAAATACCAATTTAATTGGTGTTCTGTCCTGTGAAAGCTTCATCTTGTTGCCATACGGATTAACAAACTACATTGTAAAGATGGAACACTTCGAGAGTTCATGCAAGATCTAAAGAATGTGAAAAAATAGCATGCATGTTTTCTCAACCATTTGAAGTCAACTACTCCGATCATTCCTTGTATGTTACTCATCTCCATAAAATCATGAACTCATCTACATGAAAGCCAAGCATGTATGCTAGGCAACATCTATAAATATGAAAAAAGTGAGCATGCACATTTCCTTAATGATATGAAGTCAGCTACACTGTCCTTATACGTTACTTGCCACATTAGGCACTACATCTCCAACAAATCCATGCCAATAAAGAACGTGTATAAATATCGTACAGACGAAAGGGCATGTAGAAGCAGACACACATTTGCTGAATTTAAATAGCCAAAGAATATCATGGATCATCCTCAGGAATCCATACCTTGAGAAATCAGAAAATACGTGAGATTTGAGAATTTGTTTGATATTTTTGAACTTCTCCCTGAGCTCTGTGATCTTTGGTATGTCCCTGTAGGCTTCAAAGTGACTACACAACTGATTTACAGCCTGAAATTCATCAACAAAACCGCCGCCCCAAAATTGTTAGTATGACAGAAAATTGAGTAGTTCTCCAAGAAAAATTCTTTGAGGATAAGACTATTCATTAACCCTTAATAGTAATGAGACGAACATGGAGTAGTTATCATAACAAATGATCTTCCTTCAATTCTAGACAATGAGCACCACCAAGATAGCAAAATATACAATGGCAGCATATTGTATCCCGCTGGGACCTATGGCACTGGAGGTGTCATTTTAAGAGAATAGACAAAACAGGAGTACTGATGGAAAATGATTGGAAATAGCACAAATGTACTACTCGCGAAGCTCTCTTAAGTTATATATACAATGATACATACCTCCAGCTGGGCAGCTGCTTCTTTGTAATTTCGTTTCGAAGCCATTACTTGCAACTGCTCGACTGCAGACACTGCATAGGAAAAAAGGAGAATGCTAGAGTATTGAAATGTGTAAGTCACCCATCATTCGTTTAAACTACCAAAGCAGTGCAAGTTCCAAAGGGTATTGAAGACAATGGAAAGGAAAACTTATGTTCGAACCAAACTGGGGGCAACTTATGCAGAAAGAATATAAATAAGAAAATAGAGGAGCACCAACTATGATTGGGAATGGGAATTGAGATTTGTGATACTTTAACAGGAAATGTTTTAGTTGATATCGAAGTATGGATTTCTTAAATAAAGTTAGCAAGCACTGACAGGATCGTCTTTTAATTTACTATGCTACTTGAAGGACCTATTACCATACATGTTATCGCTATCTGTTATATAGCATATAGCTTGTTGGTTCTCATGGATCTCACTAATGTGTTTACCCCTTGATGGCAACATGAAAATGCACCACTTTAGGCCCAAAGGCCCTGTAGATTATGATTATTCAGGTAATCGTAGCTTGCATAATGGTCCTAATTGATCAAGAAAAATCTCCTAAACATCCTGTTAAAGATTGAAAGTGAAATTTAAATGAAAAATTTATTTACTTTTCAATCAAGAAAAGAGGATTGGAAGTGCAAGGAATAAACATCCACGCCTAAGTCATCCAGGGTCCGAGTCTAGTACAATTTGGATTAGATTCTAAATAATGCGCCTTTATTGTTTAAGACTCAGACATAAGGTCCAAATATGGTAACAGCTCATCAAGTGCCAGAAATATTAAAACTACATATGAACCTTTAAAATGCATAATAATCAGTGTCTTATGTGCTTCTACTTGAAATGATAGTCATGCTCCGTACAGGTAATGAAGACAGTAAATTAAGGTAATGAACACAGTAAACCTTAAATCATAAAATTGTATACACATAACTGACTGAATTTTACATCGGAAACACTAACCTAGCATAGTAAGACGGTGAAGTGCAGTTATTGTGGTCGTTATGTGCTTCTTTGCAAAGTCCAACTTCTTAATGTCACGGCATATTTCCTGGACCATTGTTTCGCTCTGCTCAGCTTTTGTCTTTATTTCTCGAATCTTGAACATGAGTTCCTGAGATGAAAGAACAAAAATAAATATGCAGAAAAGACACAATGGCTCGCATAAAAGACTAGACTTAACTGCTCTTTCAGAGGCCGAGGAAATAGAACTAAAACTCCTAACTAAGATACACCATCCTCTGATGCTAAACTAAACTTTGTCACATACTCACCTCCACAGCCCGTGTAGCAGCAGCAAGATCTTCCTTGGCTTTGGTTCTGGAATTGCTCTGAAACCAATCGACATCGTCAAAAACGTATAAGTAATAGAAGTCTTTCTAACGCCTCTGCGCAAACAAAACCTCTAGTTGAACAGGCCAGAAAGCACAGATCCATCTCCAAATGGCTACAGGCTAGGTTAATAGTTATAATCATAATCTATAGAGGGACCCACTTTCATTACTAATTTTGTCAAATATGTTAGAGCTATGGTAAGATCGTTTACTGGGTAAGCATCCAGTAACTGATACTCAGTAAGAGGTTGTTGACCTGTCGTTGCTTATTGGCTATCAACATCTGATTCTTTTAATACAGCTTTAAAAAAAAAGGTTCTTCTAATTTCAATGGCAGGATTCCTAACGCACAGGCTCTGAAACTTCAATTCCCACACCCACTGCCTCCAAAATCTTTCATGACAACAAAGAAAATTGATCCAAGGATGCAACAACTGCTTCATACTGTACCAAGTAAAAAAAATCATGCAATGGACGAGGCAAATAATGTTAATATGCTTATGCAAAACATAACAGGAAACAAGAGCAGGACTGTAACCTGTTGACGAACAGCTGCAAGTATCCCAGCATCCACTCGGCGTATCTCACTGTGAATCTTTTGCATAAGAGGCTCAACCCCAGATAAAGATGCCTCTGGAAGTATTCATAATTCAGTTAATCGTCACTACAGTCGTTAAAGTCATTGATTCAACTTGCCATGAGGTATTGATAATGCAAAATACCATTCATCAGATTTTCTAACTGAATCAAGTCTCTGATCCAAGAACATCAGACAGGAAGCAAAACAACATATTTGACACCGTTTCATTCTGATCCCTTGCCCTAACTATCACTTGATGTACGAACATATCTATTTAAGTTCCTGAAGCCATTTTCTAATATCTATTTCAGCTTAGATTAGCACAGCTCCCTCAATTGATTGAAATGCCACATCTCCTCAGTGTAACCAATCCAACATAAGATAGCAGCAGCATCAGTAATCTTTAGTCGAAAACCTGAGACACTACAGTCAGTGTTGACTAACATCTAACTGAATCAAACCCTCCATTCCTCAACCCCAAATAACTTGGTTCCCCTTCCCCAGCACAACAGTAGCATGAAGATAAAATGCAGCATATACTTTTACCTAAATACGCACATCTGTTGAGTTCCACAAACACAATTTCACTGATCGTGACCTTTCGAGATTCAGCTTACCAATTTTAAGCACAAATTTGAACCCCGGAACATTGAACCGTCTACTAACCAGACTCCAACTAAAGTACTATCGGAAGCATGATGAGAAGACTACTCACTGAATACAGATTGCACAGAGATAATCTAAACTGCCACTAATCTATTCTCCAACGTATATAAACAAATAGAGAGTGAGAGAAACGGAAACGAACCTGTGGGGAACATCTGGTTTATGTACTCCAACGCACTAGACTTGTCCATTTTCAAACGTTCGGAGCTGAGAATGCCAATTCTTGATGTAAAAAACTGGAGATCACATAAGCCTCTTTCTTTTCTACACTTACTCTGACGACTCCGGAATTCAGGTCGCCGGCGCCGACTCCGACTGCTTACTTCCCTGAAGCGAGGAAGGGGTCTAAGAGTGCGTAGTGATCCCCGAAACTTTGAATGGAAGAGCTATTGAATGTTGATTTCGCTTGCGGCCTTCTTTGTCAGTGGACAAGCCCGCCAGCCCTCTGCTCCATCCTCGAGAGCTTGATCGCCCCACCGCTCTCCCGATCCGTTTCCTCTCTTTTTCTTCTCTTTCTTCCTTTTCTTTTACCGTTCTTTCTTCCGATCTGAACCAGCACCGGTAGATACCAGGGTGTTTCTTTTTTCTCTGTCAGCTCGCCGCCTAAACGACAGTGCGTTTTGACCTACTTTGTCGTTTTATGGCTTCCGTACCTCAAGTCTTCTGGTTGCCTCACCTCGATACCTTCTAGGGATGGCAATGGGTCGGGTTGTGCCAAATCCAAACCCATGGGTTTATTCGTGAAAAAAACCCGGGGTAAAATACATTGGGTTTGAAAAACTCAAACGCAACCCAACCCGCTGGGTATTCGCGGGTTCATGGGTACCCACGGGTTTTTGTCGTAAAAAATTTACAATAACAAGTTCCTAACAAAATTAAAGTCAAATATCAATCTCTCAATACAAATTATCCATATTTAAAACACTATTCTAGAAAATTCAAGCAAATCACAAATTAACTATACAAATTGTTCAACACCAATCTAGAAAACTCAAGAAAATTGAAGCAAATCACAAATTATCCATAAATAACATGATTAATTGAAAACTTTTTCCTTTCAATTAAGTTTTTTCACTCTCCACTAGATTACATCAACTTCATTCTACACAATTAGAAAGAAAAAATTAGACATGTCTCCACAAACATGAATAAGATTAGTTGTTTAGACTATTAATTATACCGAGAAAATTAATTATATGAGTGTGGGCGGGTACCCATGGGTCGGGTTTACCTAAACCCAAACCCAACCCAACCCGATGAATAGTGAACGGGTTTAAACCCAAACCCGGCCCAAAACCCGTCAACATGGATTTTACCCGTGTTGACCGGGTTGGGTTAGGTGGGTACCCGTGGGTTCGGGTTTTGTTGCCATCCCTAATCCCTTCTGGTTTGGAGTTTGTACTTTTGGGACTAGATACTATGACAACACCCCTTGTGTTGTTATTGTAACAAGGAGTGTTCAAATGGTTACCATGGTTATAACCAAACCAAATAAGGCTAAATTCCATTAACCATGGAATACAATATCATAACCAAACCGCCCAAACTAATATAACAACCAAATTAACCAAACTAAAGTTTAATCGGTTTGGTTAATTGGTTAACCAGATTAACCAATATAAAATCACATTATCATTGACGATGAAAATTTTCCGGTTAATGCAACAATTCGCAATTTAGATAATGAATAAAACATAACAATCAACACGTAGTTATAGTTGACCCTTAACAAAAATACATGCAACTAAGACAATTATTTTACGATTAGTATAAAAGTATTCACCTAACAAAAATTTATGACAATGGTATGGGTTAATGAATTGTTGTGTTTGTGTAAATTGACTTAGTCTTTTAGAATTATCATAGGCTGGAAATGACCTTTCTTTCAAGTTTTCATCCATCATAATGTATGAAATTTATCTAAATTAGGCGTCCATATGTTGTGGTCTACATTTTACATATACAAATATACACTATATGAGCAATATTGAGCTTTATATTTTATGAGTCTAAAAGGGATGAACGTTAACTCTTGAGTGGTTATGCAAAATATTAAGTATGTGTATATAATATATGTTAGATATATGACTAATTACTTAACTGGTTAATATTGTTTGACTGGTTAGGAGTGTCTGAAACCAAACCAAATCACATAAACCAAACAAGTTAAAAACTTTAACCAAACCAAACCAATTATCCAAATTAACCAAACCAAATTATCCAAATAGTACTGGTTAAAACGGTTACCATGGTAACCAAACCGTTTGAACACTCCTAAATTTGTAACAACACTAGTCTCCAACCAATAGGAAGCTAGGGTTGTGATGACTTTTTATTAAATGAGTTGACCTAGTGTAAAATCAAAGCAGGGGTATAATTGTCATTATGAAAAATATATTTAAATAATAATAAAAAATAAAAATTACTTTTTTATTTTCGGCCCAAAATTTTGGTCGTTGAAAATCGTTCGTCGGTCACCGGAATATGTTTTTTTGTCGCAGGAATATGCTATTTTGTCATCGGAATATGTCACTGTCGCAGGAATATGCTATTTTGTCATCGGAATATGTCACTGTCGCCGGTATATGCTCACCGTGGTCGGAATATGCTTACCGGCATCGGAATCTAGTCATCGGGGCCGGAATATGCCTATCGGCTCCGGAATCTACTCACTGACGGTCGTCGGAGTTTGGTCAACGAACTTCGTTGACCAGTTAACGATTTTCCATTGACCGGTCAACGACCACCGGATGTTATGGTATGCATTGTGAGATTTATGGTTTGGTTTCTCATATTTTTGTATGCCTTTTGTGGTTTGCTTTATCGTGTTTGTGGTTTGCATTAACATATTTATGGTTTGCTTTATCGTGTTTGTGGTTTGCATTGAGAAGTTTCTGGTTTGCTTTCAAAAATTTTGTGGTTTGCATTGAGGGGTTTTTGGTTTGTTTATTATATTTGTGGTCTGCATTAGGAGTTTTATGGTTTGCTTTTTTGTGGTTTGATTTACTGTGTTTGTGGTTTGCATTAGGAGGTTTCTGGTGTGCTTCGCAAATGTTGTGGTTTGCTTTGTGAGGTTTGTGGTTTGTTTTAGGAGATTTGTGGTATGCATTCGGAGGTTTCTGGTTTGCTTTATTGTGTTTCTGGTTTGTATTAAGAAGTTTATGGTGTGCTTTCAAAAATTTTATGGTTTGATTTGTGGGGTTTCTGGTTTGTTTTAATATATTTTTGGTCTGCATTAGGAGGTTTGTGGTTTGCTTTACCATGTTTGTGGTTTGCATTATGAGGTTTCTGTTGTGCTTTCGGAATTTTGTGGTATGCTTTGTGGTTGTTTTAGGGGATTTGTGGTATGGATTGGGAGGTTTCTGATACGCTTTTTGTGGATTGTTTTACCGTGTTTGTGGTCTGCATTAGGAGGTTTCTGTTGTGTTTTAGAAATAGTTGTGATTTGCTTTTTGGGTTTCTCGATCTGCATTAGGAAAAATACAAGAAAATGTGCATTTGCCACACTTCCATCCAATTAACTAACGAACTGGGGAAAAAATGCAATTCTCTCACCTCAGTATTATAAGTATGCAAATCCCGTTGGATCCCTATGCTTTCCATTTCACTGAACAAACTTCTCGATGCATCCCATAAACCTCCTCTACTACATACAGCAAGCAGCGTGTTGTATGTAATTCGATCAGGTTCCACTTCATCCTTCAACATGAGGTTGAAAATCTCTACTAGTTTATGAGATTTACAGTTTGCATTAAGAGGTTTTTGGTGTGCTTTAGAAATATTTTTCTGGCGTGGTTTATGAGATTTGCAGTTTGCATTAGGAGGTTTTTGGTGTGCTTTAGAAATATTTTTGGTATGTAAAGCAGTGTTTTGTATATGCTTTAGGGGATTTACGGTTTGCATAATCATATTTTGGGTATACTTTAGAAATATTTATGTTTTGCTTTATAATGGTTATATGAGATGAATGATTGGAGTTTCTTTATTCCTTGGCCAATTGGCGATGCTTCCCAGAAGCTAACAATGACAAAGTTGCAACTAAATTCATAAAGCTCCAACCAAACATTCCACATCAAACCACATTCTCGCACATACACCATTAATTGAAACCACAACAGAGCATTTATCATCAACATTTTCGCTAGAAACTCCTGCTCTCAAAAGCAACATGGGAACAGAAACAGTAGCCACAGATCAGTCCACTGACCAAGCCGAAATGGCAATGCAATCACACAAAAGTAGATGAATTCGGCAAGGGTACAAAATTATTGAACTGCAAGTACCATTTCCCAGCGATACTAATAAGATCAAGAAACTGTGAGATGCTCATCGATCAACTGTCGCGGCCTCCCGCAGCAAACCTTTCAGCAGCCAAACACGTGAGAGCTAAGCTATACTCAACTTTCAGTATGTCCGTCTCTCCATCCTTCCAATCTCTTCAGAGCTACAGCAGATTTCCAGAAGAAAGCTTCCCATAGGATAGATTATTGAAAGGGAATCGGGAGGGAGAAGGAGAAGGTCAGCAGCTGATGCTACTCAATCTTCCAATTCATCGACAACCGCTACTTCTTCCATCTACCGGTTAATGGTCGCTGATTGCCACCATCACTATCACCGCCGCCTCCAGAACGCCCTTATTGAGACTCAGACGACCACCGTTCCGTCTCCGTCCGGCACTAATGTTTGTTGGCGACGCTACTTTGTGGTTTGCGACCGTAATCGATGTCATCGTTGCAAGGTTGCAGAATGGTTTCTGCTTGCGAAGAAGGCGGGTTGGAGGAATTAACCTCCGGTGCTACCAGGCTCTCTAGCGGCCTTCAAAGGCCCGCGGCGGCAAGAAAGAGTTCAGCAGATGAGAGATGCAGAAGAATAGGGATTCTCCAATCGAGGATGAACAGAGACCACTGCCATCTCAGCCACGATCTGCCATCGATGAAGAAGACCGGCACAGAAATCGAGGCGGCAAAGAGACGAGATCTGGTAGAGAGCTCCGACGGGAGGATGATTTGAACGGCGATAAATTCAATTTTGCGGCGTCACTGCTACGGTTGTTCTGAAGGAGAGAGCTCTCCGACGAAGGATGGACGGAGTCGAGATATTTGAGCGGAGAATGGGGAGGAGAGTTTTCTTCGTCACTTTTTCAATTTTCATATTATATTTGTTATATTTTGTCAGTTTACCCTTTTACCCTTGTTATTACTATAACAACAGGAAGGGTGTTGTTATTCTATCCGAGCCCTGTACTTTTGGTCTCAATTTTATCAATTTAGCTATCCTTCTAACAGGGTTTTTTGTTAGTAGATACTAACAGGGCCGGATGGGCCTCCACATCGCTAAGCCACCATCTATCGGTGGAGGAGAAAACGCGTCAGTATGTGAGGGAGAAGAGCCGAGTCCATTGGCTGGGTCAGGCTCACTAGAAAGAAAATGGGGCCCGCCGGGCCTCCAAATTCAAAATTTTCAAAATTTTAATACCCAAAACCCTCTCCATCTGCTCTTTCTCCGCCATTCAATATTTTTCCTTCTCTCTCTAATAAGCGTTTGTTTCCCTCTCCCTCTCCCTCTCCATTTCCTCACTCGATCTGGTGTGTGATGACATCGCCGACGACTGCGACGGTAGCGCGAGGAAACGACGATGACTGCATTGGTGCTTGTCGAGGGCGACTTTGACTTTGACTGTAGCGGCAAGGACGGCGGTCTCGGCAGCTGCGATGACGGCTTTGACAGCAGTGCGACGGTGACGGCAGCGAGACAAGGACTACGCCGATAAGGTATGCGTCTTCCCCTTGCTTCATTCGTACCTAAGACTGTTAGATTTCATAGATTCATTTTAGGTTTTGCATGGATAGTATTTAGGGTTTCATGGATTGGGGGTTTTGGCTGGCTCGGCTTGTTAATGGTTCGTTGGGGTTCGTCTAGATGCTTGGGATTCATTTTCATGGTTGTGTAATTCCTTGTTTTTTGTTTAGGTTTCGGTGGGGTTGATGGATACGAGTGTTGACGGGTTTAGGTATTGTCCTGGTGTGCATGGTTACGATTTTGGGTAACCCGATTTTAATTTTTGCTAATTTGACTGGATCTAGGTTGCTTGTGTTCTGGATTTTGTGTATCTGGGATCCAATATTAGTTCTGTGCAAGAAGGATATTAGTTTTCATTTGCCTAGATATTTGTGAGGTATATCTGGATATTCCTACGTTGATATTGGTTTTGGTCGAGCTTGATATCAGTTGTGAATTGCATGGATAGTTGTTTGACGAATTTGGATATTCTACTGTGCAGGGAAATCACAATGGCAAGAACTATAGCTACTGCAGCAAGGAGGACCAGAACAGAAGGCGAAACCTCGAGGCCTAAACGTGCTAAACAACAACAGCAAGATGAGGAAGAAGATCTTGATTTTGAGGATGCAGAAATTGAGCACGAAGACGATGATGACCAAGATGATGAGGAGGAAGACGATGAGGACAACGAAAATGATGAGGAAGTTTCTAAAGGAGGAGGAGGGCGCCGATGTAGATTTCGCTGTAGCACCAAGAAGGTGCTGTCAATTATAAAATACTGGAAGCAAGATCCACGGTTCTATCAAGCTTGCAAGAGAGAGATTGAGAAGGCTAGATTTGGAGGCCTATTTGAGCTTAGGCTGGCCAATGTTCCTAAGGAGATGTTGCCTACCTTGATAGCACATTACGACATGTGCACCGACAACTTCATTTTTGGTGAAGGCGAGAACAAGAAGGTGCTTACCATTTGTTATATTCTTATTGGATTGTTTGTTGTATGTTTGACCTTCTGGCTCATTGCACTATGTTTGCTCACCATCCAAGATGAGGATGCTGCCCGTGTATACGACATTCCTCTTGGTGGTGCTGAGATTGATCTTGTGAAGGCAAATAAGTCGATGCTCAAGGTTCTGAAGGAGGAGTTATGCATGGAGGGTAATCGGGAACGAGATGTTAAAGTTGTGGAGTTGACTAAGTCGACTAAAGGTCGGGGGAGAGAGAGGAGGAGACTACCTGTTGCAGTTGCAGTGAAGCAGTTCCTACTTGTGCCTCTTGGTTCGTTGCTCGTTCCAACAAGCTCTCGTATCTGTAAGTTCGACTATGCAGAGTACTTAGCGGGGTGGGTTGAGGACATTCGAACTTTTAATTGGAGTGGTCATGTCGCCTAGGAGCTGAAGGTAGAGCTGTCTGTTACCAAAAAAAGAGAAGTTGTTGCTAGGACCAAGGGACAAAAAGAGAAGTTAATGGGGATATCCACTTCTTGATGGTAAGTTATAGTTTAAACTTTAAAGATGTGTATATTTGTTAGCATTCTTGGGATATTAGTTATTTTTATACAAGGTATCTTTTTTCATGACTGGGTACTAGTCTGGGCTGCCTGGATAATGGTTGTTTTTTATTGGGATATATTTTCTAACAGACACTTTTTTGTAGCTTCATTTGATGGATTTCCTTATGGTGAGAGGATTCGCCACAAATACAATCCCCAGCTGCAACTATTGGTTCGAAGCAAGGGTGGATAACCTATGCTTGGCTATCCCCAAGGCGGAGGCGCGGAGCTATATAATGTGGCTCTCGTGTTGCTGTCGAGAGAAGAAGTCCGATCTCGCTTCTTTCCAGGACGTGTCAGGAGGGAATGGGAATCAGGAACAATCATCTCAGCTCCTCGTACAGCTTCTCCGCAGTTCTACGTGACGGAATGGCGGGAGGAAACAGACTTGGAATCCCTTGAGACCGACGAGGTATGTATATGATTGTCTTTTAAAGTGAAAATTGTGGGTTAGTAGACATGAGTGCATGTAGTAAACTAAATTTTTTGAGATGTATCTGTAGCTTAAGGCACTGCAGTCCTTGACTGAAAAAGTGATGCATAAGTGGGATTCATGGCGGGAAAGTGTCCGAAGTGTTGCCATTAAGCGCCAGTAAGACAAGAATTGAACTTTTCATGTTTCTTCTATTTAAGGGGTTATAATGTTTCTTTATAGGATGATATATTTGTCATGTTGGAATGGATTTCTTGATAGAATGCTATAATTGCCATGTTGGAATGGATTACTTGATAGAATGCTATAATTGCTAATGGCTTTTGAACAATAGTTGTATCGATCAAAAGTTTGTTTTCTGTTGATTTTGGATATTGTTGTGTATTTGTTTTGGATATTATTTATGAATTGCATGAATGACAGTTGTTTTTATAACTGGGTAGTAGTTATTTTCAATCTGGATATTTTTGCATTATGGATATTGGATTGGAAGCACAGGTTAATAGTTCCTTAAAGCCTAGTTACTACATAAGTAGATAGTAGTCTGGGCTTTCTGGATACTAGTACAAAACTTCAGGATATTAAATCTTTCACAAGTAGATATTAATCTGTGTTCTTCTGGATATTCGTTTCTTAATTGTTAGATACTTATCCGGGTAGTCCGGATAATAACATTTATATGCTTGCACCCGTTTTCCAGCTCGACTTTGTGGGTGCTGAGCTTGACAGGAATCGGGGCAAATTGGCAGTATTTTCTTCGTCTTTGGTAGCAGCAACAAAAGCAAAAATGGAAGAGGAGGTAGTTGTCATGGAGGAGGAAAATCCGGTAGTTGTCATGGAGGAGGAGGTTAGTCAAGGTACAGTGAGAGACAACAACATGTTTAGCCGCGTGTACTCTGGGAAATGACGTAAGAAGACAGTGTTGCCAGTTGTTCAGGAGTTGGAGGTGTCAGCCGTTACATCAACAGTTGATGATGTGGTTGAGTTAGTCGGTAAGTCGACTGTTGGGGAAGTGGTGGAGTTGGAGTCATTTCTTGAGTCCGAGGTGATGGATACTGTTGCTGATCCGGTAGTTCAGCACATGGAGTTGCCGGCCATTGTGTCGACTTTTGATCCAGTGGTGGAGTCATAGTCAATTGTCCAGGCTATGGTCATACATTATACCGACCCGGATACGACATTTGCTGATGTGATGCATATTAGTTCCAGGCCACTACTGCTACTAAAGAGAGTATCAGGACATCTTCGACTATGGTAATATTTCCCTTAATAGTAGATACTAGACTGGACTCACATGATATTTGTTTCTTTTTCGGTGGATACTAGCCTGGGCTGCCAGGATATTTGTTTCTTTTTTTTGTAGATACTAGTCTGGGCTGTGAGGATATTTGTTTCTTGTTGAGTAGATACTAGCATTTGGCAATGTTTTGCAGATACCTATCGAGGCAGCTACTGATGCTCATGAGAGTATCACAACATCTCCGACTATGGTGGTCGATCCTTCTACTAAGTTCTAACGGAAGGAGAAGTAGGACAATCCGAGGAGGAGCTTATAGCAGCAACATGTGAGAGGATAGAGGATAGCAACGATGATATTATCATTTCTGAGAGAATTTAGGACTGAGAAGGAGGCAAAGTATATGTACTCTATCACACCGGAAGCATGGAAGGCAACCCTAAAAACTCCAGAGTTTGATAGGTCAAAACACCACCCATTTGGCGAATCAGTGTACGTTCTACCAAAGACTCTGTCGACAAAACTCGACGATACGGCTCTGCAAGTGGTTGAGTTCATCTTCAGTACCACTGCTAAAGACAAGTATGTTGTCTGGGGAGTTATTTAATCACCAATTTCAATTTGTCGCACACACATTTCTAACCTGGTTTTCATTTGTGTTTTACAATGGCAAATTTGTCGTGGATACTCCAACTGGTAACCTTACCCGTTCCCAACTACTTTCATTGAAGGGTACAAATTGGCTGCATAGCCAAGTACTTGTTGTATACGGGCTATTCCTAAATAACAAAGAAGTAAGCAAGGAGGTGGTGAAGAGAATTGTCTTCCCATGGAGATATGTAGTAAGTATTATCTTCACTACCTAGATCCTATTTATATTGAAAATGTCTAATTTGATATTGTTGTCTCTTCTAAATAGCAAAATGCCGTCAGTAATGTTGTCAAAAAACAACTCATGGACAAGGCGAGACTCCCTGCGTATATTTCTATGCACAAAAGGAATCCAATTATGAAACGGGAAAACTTGAAAAGATGTGATTACGTAAGTATCTCCAATGTTTGGATTTTTTAATGATTTTCCTTGATATTGGTCTGGGTTTATAGGATATTATTCTGATTTGTTGAGATATTAATATGTGTTGTTAGGATATTAGTCAATGATTAACTCACTAACTTCTTTGTGTTTCATATCTTTTTTCGAATGTATCTAAATGATCACTACCGGGTGTACGCGACCGACATGAAGAATAAGAAGACTTTCCTACTCGACAACATAAAGCCCAATGCCCGAGTGGCTAAGGAGGATCATGGACCAGTTTGGAAAATGATTTTTGGGTATGTGGCAGCATTCCTCAACGCCCAGGGGGTCGATTGTGCATTGGATGAGTGGTCATTCAACATTGCCGGCATTCCTCAGCAAGTAGGCAACCATGATTTCGGTGTATTTGCATGCCTTTACATGGAGCAATGAGCGGGTCACCTTCCAGTGGAATATAAAGCAAGTTGGCACAAGCAGCCCCATGTAGAGGAACAGCGAGCACGGATTGCAGCCAACCTCATTTTATGGGACTATAACCGCCGCATCGATGCAATAATTCAAGGTGCAAAAGATTGAAATACGAAGAAAGAGAAAGAAAAAGGGAAAAGAAAGAGAAGTAGATTTTAGACTTGTGTAGTGTGATATTGGTTTGTAAAACTGAACTTAGGGTTGGATAATATTTAGGGATGGATGCTATTTAGGGTTGGACAATATTCAGGGATGGATGATGGTTTGTAGCAGGATGAAGGAGATTTTGAAAAAATATATCGTAACCTCCCAGGTAAATATCTGTTTTTTTTTGTAGACTAATATCCTTAAAGCACATACAAATATCCTTACAGCCCAGACAAAATACCTTCTTTATTTGGACAAATATCAACAAATCCCAGACCAATATCCAAACAACCCAGATAGATACCCGTCTTCCTATAGACTAATATCAATAGAGCCCAGACTAATGCCCTTAAGGCCCAGACCGATACCCTTCTTTTTGTAGACTAATATCTTTGGAGCTCAGACTAATAATAGATAAAGATGGATAACACTTTGAATCAGAAATAGAAACAAACTCAACACAATACAAAATGATGATAGGAAATACTAATTCATTTTTTTCACGGTCTTCTCGGTGTTATCTTCATCATCCGACTCTGAAAAAGCGGGGAACATTACTTCGTCCCAATCCATGTGAAAACCACACCCCTTATCATTTTCGTACTCGTACATCAGACATCGGAAATACCTCTTCGGTGGGTTGACTCCATCAACAGCAAGTCGTCTAGCGACTCTCCAACCATGGTAACAGAGTATAACACCATCATATTCGAACTCATCCACCAATCCCCGATGCGCTGGTTTAGGAGTCTCTTCAGACATGGATTTTGCTTTGGAAGAGAAGTGAAGAAGAAACGGAGGGAGGAGGATAGCCGATTTGGGTTTGTGTACGATTTGTCTTAAATAGACAAATTCTCATAGGGAAGTACTCTAACATGTCTTTAGAGAATAGAAACAAAAAACATCACATGAGTATAGTAACAAAAAATGTCACATGTGAATAATGAAAGAAGTAATCATTGGTATTATTGAACCTACTTTTGAAAATACTGATATTCAGGAAGCCCAGACTAATATCTGTACATATTAGACATTTAGACCATGGTTCAGGAAACCGTAGCGGAGATCATACCGGATAAGTCTGTGGCAGGATATTTTGTGGTACGACCGTGGTTCAACCGTTTTATACCGGTAAAATACCGTTTTTCATAAAAAATAAATATTTTCATTAAAATACCATGTCGGGGAAAATAGCCTACCGTATCGAAGAAATACCGGAATTATACTGGAATAATATCGGACAACGAATAATAAAATACTAAATAATCATAGAATAAAAAGCAAACCAGCCATAAATTGGACAAATTATCATATAACATCTAACATTTTAACTAATTACATCATCATGAATTTTTTGTTTTTAATCATCAGCGGACTCAATAAAGGATCATTACAGTATTTTTACAAAATCAAGGTGGCAAGGGGTAATTTTGAAGAAACAAGTTGGTCATTTGGTTATGTTTTGAAATACAATATGAGGATGGCGTGAGAGGGAGAGCAAGAAACCCTACCGCCTCTTCACCTTATTCTCTCCTTCCTCTCATTTGGCAAGGAAAAAAATACCAAAAAAGAAAACCCCATACCAAGTCCCAACCTTCCATCTTCTATCCCTTTTTATGCATGTCTGTCAAAGACAACGGAGAAAGAAAAACCTTCTTCTCCTTCTCCTTCTCCTTCTCCTTCTCCTTCCTCGCTCTATTTACTTCTCCCCGTTATGCCTCTTCTCTCGATTTACTCCTCCAACTGTAAAAAAAGAACCAGACCCACCAAATTGACCATAAAAAGCGTCAATCTAGGTTCATCTCCTCTTTCTTCGTCGCTTCATCTCCTTCCTCCCTGTTCTTCTATCGATTTACTCGTCCCTCTATCTCCAAGAGCCCCTAGGGGGAAAGGAGGGAGCGGCAGGCTGAAGTGAAACTATTGGGAAGGAAGAATCAATTAGGGTAGGGTTGTTAGTTAAGAAGACTGGACGACTCATTTTCCCCCCCAATTTCGTCGCATGAAACGCGTATGTTTTTGAAATCAGCCTACCACCGGCCGGAACAAAACCGGGCGATATTTTGGCTCGTACCGGTTAAGTCGGAAAAACTGGCCGGCGCGGTAAGTTAGCTGCAAAATGGGTACCATATCGCTACTGGTCCGGTTTCCGATTTTTTCGGTTGAGTCGGCCGGTACGATCTGGTTTCCTGTTCCATGAATTAGACTACATATCCAGTTTGCCCAGACAAGTATCTTTTACAAGTGGATTAATATTAACATCATCCCAAAAAAGTATCTTGGAATCACATGTCAATATCATATATCATAATAGACCACTCTCGAACCACCCTACATTCTATTCATAACCATGAGTAATATTATCATCCAAATCACTAAGATGGTCATCCGGTTGAGTATTGTTGTCCTGCGTGACCACTTCAACTGATTTCATTCTCTTCTTATAGACACATTTCTTTCGACGACGTTCCTTTTCATTCGTAGACTGATAACGTTCCTTACCTTGGCTCCTTGGATTACTCTTCTCCTTCAAAGTCAACCCAGTTATCGGTACATTCCGTCCTACAATGTTAGAGAATTTAGTAAATGCAATGATATTAAACCATAACAATTTACAAATGATATTAGTGAATACACTTACTGTCCTCGCTAGTTATAGTCTTTGACAATGCCTTGTTTGCCTCATTGCACAGTTTTTTGAGTACTCTCATCCACTTATTGTAATCTTTCTCATCGGTCATTGACATATTCGTTGCTAGTTGATTCAACATTGCAGTGGTTTCTCGGTACCGCATTGCTATACATTTTCCCGCATCATTCTCACTGGCAGCTGAAAGACCAACAGGGGCAGTTAGACCCTAATGAACTACACTACTCAAGGACAACCTAGAAAACCTCTTTCTTTCTCGCCTCCAACGTCCATCGCTTGAGTATGTAATGATCTGGAATACTTCTCATACTGGCTTCCCCAAAATCTCCATGAAGCCGCATCACCTTAATCATGTGGCGGCATAACACTCCGAAAGTTCTGAACATCCTGCATTCGCATACCAATGTTCTCGTAGGAATATCGATGAGAACGACATGCTCATCACTACGCTCATCATCCTCTATCATATATGTGCAGTAGCCAATCATGCCATCATCCCTAGTATGTGAGAGCATCTCCATTAGATAAGATTCAGTTTTCAAATACTGCTCATGTATCCGATTGAAGATGTTAGAAGTAAAGATCTTTGTCGCATGTTGTAGGATCGGGCTGTGCTCTAACATTATATAGGGAATCGATTGTTTCCCATTGTAGTCAGATTCAGTCTCCTTGTGTATTTTTTCAGCCAACAAACTACATTTAGAAAGCACGAGAAAAGAGTTTAGTGCTTAGATCAATATCTACTCAGACTAGTACTAATATCCCACCAACAAAAAATAATATTTAACAAAAGCATATTAATTTCCAGATGACAAACAAAAATATCCATACCTAACAAGCTAATATCAAAGAAAGGCAAATAAATATATTGCGTAAGTACCTGCTAAAGTGAATAAAAACAAGTTTAAATCATGCCTCTGTTTCAAGAAAAGTCACGCTTGTGCATTGCACGACTGGCTGTTTTGCGTAGTCAACATCCCGGCTGTGAATTGATCTCTCAATCATAAGGAACACCATCAATGACGAATTTTTTTCAAATATTCCAACCATGGGTGACCGTCCGCAATTTCGCTATTTGGGAAACAATCAACAGCCATTGTGCTCCATGCCATGTCGAACTCTCCCTCACTATCGATGTCGTAGAAAAAAAGAAAGATGAGTTTGGAACTTCTTCCAAAATGCCTTGTCCTTACAAAGATGCTTCTTGGCATTCATGAGGATGTGCCAAGTGCAGAGGGCATGTAACACAGTAGGCCACTCCTTTCTAAGGCACCAAACACACAAGTTTGACGGTGGTGATTGAAACCTACAAACATCCCTGCACAAGACAACTATTAATGACAATGCATAACGGAACGAGTGCCAAAAAAACTCGAGGCGATTAG